CACATTGCTGTCAAAGTCTGGGGCTCCCAGAAGAACCCTCCAGTTCTCTGCCTGCATGGCTGGCTGGACAATGCCAACTCCTTTGACAGACTCATTCCTCTTCTTCCACAAGGTGGGGCTATGGGCTGAGGGATAGGGGAGGGGTGGAAGCTGACATGCAGACCCCCTCCTCTTCCTCTTCTCTCTGCTGCAGATTTTCATTATGTGGCCATGGATTTCGGGGGCCATGGGCTCTCCTCCCATTACAGCCCAGGTCTCCCGTATTACCACCACAATTTTGTGAGTGAGGTCCGAAGGGTGGCAGCAGGTGAGCAAGAGCCAGAGCGAGTGCCATGAAGGGGTTATGTGTGTGTTGGGGGAATCCCCTGCCACATCCCCTCTCTTCCTAGGTGGTCAGATGCAGTGTCTGGGAGACAGTAGTGGTTGGGAATGGATGCCCGGGGTCCAGCTCCAGTTCTCCCAGCAACTGAGAAGAGCTTGCTTCCTCCACTAGGAGCTTCTCACAGTGGAGCTGAGCCCCCTCAGCTGGTCTCCCGGGTGGGGGGAGTCCCAAGCCAGGACACAGGAAAAAGTTTAGAGTAAGGCTGGACCATGCCAACCTTCTTTTTGAATTTCTGTTTTCAGCATTTAAATGGACTCGCTTCTCCCTCCTGGGCCACAGTTTTGGTGAGTCAGCTTTACAATGGCCCTGAGATTTCTGGAGGGCTATATGAGGGGGAGAAAATTTGACACAGTGGTATCTGGTGCCTTTTCCTGCCCCTCTGAGGAGGAAGGGAGTCCTCATATGCTTACTTTAGGGACTGTGCCTCTGGTCTCAGAGGGGGTGCGGAGTGTCCTTGTTAGTGTTTTCAATGGAGAGACCTTGGTGGCCCAGGGAGAAGCTCCTCATTGCAGATGAAGAGTCCCAACCCCATGGTGGGAGAGGAGCTGGGGATGGGGCAGCCCCATAAGAAAGGGCTGGGGGAGCATTGGGAGCTGGAGAGGGGTCACATAGATGTCAGCTCTGCTTTCTTGTCTGGCAGGTGGCACTGTGGGTGGCATGGTGAGTAGCTGGCTGTTCTGGGGTCACCTGGGACCTTTCTGGGGGTGTTGGTGGAGAGACCAGTGGGAGGTAGGAAAGGAAGAACCCTTTACACAGTGGATGCAGTAGGTAGACAGTACCTCCTTAGCCAGAGGCAACTTCTCATGTACACTGTGTCCTGGCAA